TGGTTAAGCTAAAAAAAGTGTTAATAACCTGGAAGGTAAGGACCAGAGAATAATTTAGATGAATAGGAGTAATAATAATCAATAAACTAAGATAAACTTCTGAAAAGTGCACCAGCTGTATAAGTATCAAAGGCATATGCAGATTATATTGTCGATATCAGTCAAGAAATGAAATGAGAACGATGGTAAGTGTACAGATACGAAAAGAAATGGGACAAAGAAATGAAATTTTAGAACAGCACAAGTGAAAATATAGAGCAATTTTATTAAAAGTTGTCGTTTCAAGCTTTAAATTTCAGGTGGATAAAGTAACGAATATATAAAGAATTAAAATATGCTAAAAGAAATAGATATTAATAAAATAATTTTAAAAATGGATAACATAGAAAACAAGTATGTAAAGTTCTTAATGATATGTGGTCAAGGGGCATGATAAAACGTTTGAATTGGTTATTTTAATGGTGGCGTGCAAAAAAAGCATTCTAAAATACAAATTTGGGCTATATAATGAGAATTGCTTCTTGTGATTATTTAAAATTAGTTGAACCGACAACGAAACAACAAAACATAAAGAACAAACACAAAACATAAGAAGGCTAAAATCGGTTAACCAAAAGTAATGCCATCATTCAAAAGATATTATGTGGCCCGACGCGCAACAAAAATTTATAAATTAAAAAATAACAACTCAAAGAAATCTTCCGATATCAGAACAACTTTTAGTGGCCTTCCTTCTGAAAAAATAAACATAAAATAGCGAGATAACTCTTAAGAAATGTGGGAAAGCATATTAACGTATTATAAGTTTCCGTATACTATAATAGTTACGTAAGCCTTTCAGGTGATATTAAATACCTTAAGATTCATAGAAATACTTGTTTCGTTTTAAGTAGGTTCTCGTGACTACCAGCAAATCAGATCTATGAGTTATGTCAACCCTATTTTGTTTGAGGTGATTAAGGGGTGATAGATGAATTTTCCCACAATTATATGAGTAGAGCTGAAGGTTCCATTAAATTTCGCATAGTCTTGCCTTCCAAAAAGTTTTTCTCATACAAAAATGACTGCAGTTTCGACCTCACTTAGATCTTATCAACAACCCCAGCGGGATTTAAACTATGACAGTGCAGCGTGAAAGCTCGATGTTACTCAATCCGTAACATTTCCACGAGTTCCCTTGGGTCACAGGGCAGATGTGAATTTCAAAGAAGACCAGGCATTTCTCATATCACCTTCTGTGATGAGATTGTTAATGAAGCAAACATATATTTGCTATAGCTATTTACGACATTACTTATCTTTCGTTTTGAGTAAGTTTTTGTGACAACTCATAGATCTGATTTACATGTAGTCACGAAAACCTACTCAAAACATTTGCCTCACCAAAAATCCGCAAAACTCTATATAAACCATAATAAATTTTCGTCTTATGTGGCAGACATTGCTAAAGCGAGAAATCATAATTTAAGAGAAACCGCACCAATATACCCAACAGAGAAAAAGCTAACGGCTGCAAATATCATCGCTTTTTATATCTATTTGGGCGATCTTAGTAAGGCATCACAGGATTTTGTTTGCTACTTTGTGCTTACCCTACATGCTTACAGAAAAGTGAAGTTAGGGCATTATAAGATATTAAATGTGCTACCAAAAGTTTCCTTACAATGATAAACCAGTATTTAATATTGTAGTGTTGACGTATGTTCAGGCACGTAGTAGTGTAGATTGTATATATGCAATATGCAAGTCATTTAAGATGTGAACGCCTTAAAAAAATTAGAGGCTAGTTAATCTTTCTTCTCTTGTTCGGTGGTTACAAGAACTCTTCTAGCAGATACATAGAAGCAAAAACAGATGAATATGAAGAAAGAACCTAGTCGCCCTAGCACACTTAAGGTAAAGTAAAGAGTAAAAATCGAGTTTTCCTATATTTACATAAATTGATGAGTTAGGACTCATGGTGTTTGAAGTGTGTATTAAATGAGATAATAGTTCTAATTTTAAAGTCTGACTGAGGGAGCTTGCTAAAGGCAAAAAATAATAACATTGCATGTGACTTATTTATATCTAAGTAAATAAAGATAAAATTATTAATGAAAAGAAGCACTTTCGAAGACAAAAATTCATTCTGATTACGAGTATAATTAAAACAATTTACATCTGCTTTATTCAACATAATAATAATGCGAGATATAGGATATAAAATAAAATCTTAAAGACTAAATGAGACATCATTTTCAATGTATGCTCGTACAAAATAACGTCACACATAAATAATTTTAAGGATATTATTAAAGGGACTACGAAAAATCATGTAAGAGCTAAAAATAAACTGTAACAAAAATATTCTAATCAGTTGGATGTAAAGTGACGACATGACTGATGAGGCCAATATTTTGCTTGATTGAAGAGGTTATAAGTAAATCAAAGGAAGTTGGGACAGAAGAACAATGGGGCAAAGTGAGAAAGGAAGAAACAAATTTTAAAGTAAAATTATACAGAGGAAAAGATAAATTCGCAAAAACAAATTAAACTAAGTAAATAATATAATGATACTAAATATAAAGGTCAAGATCAACTAAATGGATTAAAAATTATTTTTATGAGAGAGCGTATGAAAAAAAGATGAATAAAGCCATAAAATAAACGGGATATGTTAGAATAAATAGAAGTTGGAAAAGATTAAATTATGAGGTAACATCAATTTGATAACGGCCAATACAAGCTAAGGCCATAAATATTGGAATGAATAAAAGGGGAACTTTCATAAAATAT